TTGAAGTATTTATAAAATTTTTTAATACAATAAAATTTTTTTCTTTTCTTCTAAAAATAATAATGAAAATAAAAAGGAAATAAATAAACAAAATTTTCTTGAAAAATGAATAAATAAAATATGTACACCAACATTTTACTATTTGCATTGCATGCATGTGATTTAATATTTGAAAAATAAACGAAATCTTCAATGAAGAGATCTTAAAGAAGTTCGAGTAGTGATTTTTTAAAAATTTTTAGGAGAAAAAATTTATCTAAAATACTGACAATGTATTTGAGCATTTAGTATAATTTTTTATAAAGAGTTCTCATTTTTTAATAAATAGAATAAGAAATAATTTTTTTAATTAAATCATAGGTATCATATTTTATTACATGCATTATAAATATTGATTTTGAAGATAAATACAAACCACCGAGAATGGGATTCTTGAGAAATTTGACTACTAATTCTTAAGAAATCCCTATATGAAAAAGTTCCTCTTAATATTGTTGGAATATTGAAATACTTTTAAGAATTTTTCAATATGTAAGGTTCTTATTTATTTTTTAAGCAAACAATTAAAATAAAATTATGTTTTTTTATTACAATAAAGAAGATTAAGAAAATTAATTTTAAATACCAAAATTAAGATTTTTTTGTCAAAATTCGAAGGAAAACAAATAATTAATTTTATTAAACAGATATATAGGGGTGCTAATCATTCTCTACGTGTAACTGACCTCTTAACCTAAATTATTTTGCAAACCCTAAAATTATCTTTTTAATAAATTCTAATTTATTTTAAATTTTATTAGAATGATAAGTTTTTATAAGTGACTAATCACATCTAACAAAAAAAAATTTGGTGGTGACAAATATGTTTCAAAATTTGTCTAGTGGCCACAAAAATCATTATAACAATAGAAATCCTAAATTGAAATATCGTAATTTTTGGTATAAATATAATTATATTTTAGTTTATATAATTTATGAATATTGATTTATAATTATAAAATTTTCTTTTATTTATTTATTTATGTTTTATTTGGCCGGGCATGTCTAATGGCATGTCATCTAATGTAACTCTATTTATTTATTTATTTATACTTATTACTCTTTCGCTATTATTTGGCAGACACCAAATGCCATGACATCTAATCTTTACTCCATTTATTTATTTGTTTATACTTTTACTCTTTCGTTATTATTTGGCAGACTCCGAATGCTTATGTTGGTGCTAAAAAGAAACTGAAAAAGAGGTACGGAACAAGGTGGGGAAGGGAAAGAAGCAGATGAAAAACAAAATTAGAACAAACTAAACAAAAATTAGCAAAGACAAATCCGATACTTTGTTGGGCATTGGTTTCAGAAACGATTGATTAAATCCTAAGTTTCTATTTCAAAATTTCTTAAAATCCTCAATTTCCTCTATCGTTTTTTTCATCTTTTTTTCTTTCTTTGTTTTTTTTTCATGATGGCTTTGTTCTCTAGCAAAAATAAGCATATCTAGCAGCCATATCCTTGGAAACTAATGTTCATAAAAAAAGTTGACAGAGACAACCTTTTCAATGTCTGCATGGGATTTGAGGTAATTAATTCAAACTAGTATTAAACCTGTGTAATGCACGAGTAATAATTATATATATAATTTAATTATAATATAATTAATAAATTTTATATAAAAATAAAAATTTTAAAATATGCATATAAATTGATATTTTTTATTTTAAATGAAATAAGCATTATTGATACAATTATTTTTTCTTTTTAAAATATATAATCAATCTAAAATACATAAATTCATATGAAATGTTGCATTAAAACATAAGTTGTTAAATGTTCCACAAATTTTCAAATATAAATAGTATTAGAAAAAAAGCAAATAAATCGATAGACGGTACGTAGAAAGCTAAGCCAATTCATATAAGTTAATAAAGCATATTATATAACTATTTAGTGGAAAACGTTAATAAATTGATATGAAATAAAAAAAAGGCAAATAGAATAAAAAAATAAAATGGTAATAAAAACTTTTGATTGATCATGTAAAAATTGTAAAAGTTATGAAAAATATACTTTGAGTCAATTCAAAAACTCAAAATTTTATAATTTAAGTGACGGTTAAAGTGATAAAGAAATTGAATCATAACATTTAATGAGATATGATTGGAAAGAGAAACAATTTTTTTTTGAATTAACTCAAAATTTTAAATTTGGTTTGAAAAGGAGTTAATATTTAAAAAAGGTAAGAGTGATATTTCTAGTAAATTACCATGATTTTAGTATAAACTGATTTCAAGTATATGTCAATTTAAAAAAAATAAATAGTAAAAAAAGTAAGATAAATTGATATTTAAAAGATAATTAATGTAATTAATTCAGTAAAAAATGAATGTTCTGACACCAATTTGCATTTGCTAGTAGATTTTTATACAATTTTGTGGACTAAAATATAAAAATTAGAACAACTACGAAATTATCAAAATTAAAAAGAAAAAATGGTAAAAAGTTTTAATTATATATTTTGGGTTGTAAAATTATGTGTAGTGATTTTAGTTGAAGAAATCCAAAAAAAAAGTGAAAATAGTGTGAATCCATCTTCTTGTATTTCATTCTCATCTCTAGTTTATATATTCCAATTCTAGAAAGATGATTACAATGGCAGTACAATATAATTGCATAACATAAAAATTGTTGTTATTTAAAATAAAACTCAATAAAAAATTAAAAAATTAATTAAGAGCGATGATTATAAATTTAAAATATTATTAACAAATTCATAAAATGAGATAATATTATGCTTAAAATATCATAACAGCTTTTTAATTAGTTACAACATTATTTGTATTTTATTTTTATAATAAATAATACAAAAATATGTTTGTATTTTGATTTTGTAATAAAAATATAGAAGAAAAATATGAAATATTTAAAATTTATTCACATCATCTCTAAACATACTTGTGTAAAAAATAAACTTAATATCAACTAAAATGAAAAGAAGTCTTATGTGAAATTTAATAAACAACTACAATTACACAAATAATCAATTAATTATTTATCCAAATTATTAGGACAAATGTGCTAAATCAAAAAACAATGTTGCAAATTAACTAGAGCTAAAAGAAAACTGCAATCAAATTATAAATGAAATATAAAATCTCATTTGTAACACAAAAACTATTAAAGAAAACAATCAATCAAATATTTTTTGAATGATGCCTTAAGTTTGAAAAAAAATATCAAACAAACAACATCCTAGGTAATTTTTCTGTAGTTGCTGAAACTTCTCTTGATACCCTCTTCAATCTATTTCAGAACTTTATGAGCAAAGTAATTTTTGAACTTCTACATTCTATTTCAAATCTAACTATCAAGAATTGCTATACTTCTAATTAAGACAAATAATTACTCTTTTGAACTTCTATAATAGTTTACAATTTCTCAACATCTACTCTCTATATACTTTGGCTAAGACTACTTGTATACAAAATCAAATTGCTATTAATTTTTATATTAAGCGCATATTGTATTTCATATAAAAAGTAATATATAAATCGAATTGCTAAAAGTTTATAAAAAGTTATACATGGATCTCAACAAATTAAGAAAAAAAATTGTATCGTACAAAACAAAATATACATGTAAAGACACAATCATAAGATCATTGAATATGCAAATAAATACATCAACAAAAAATGGGTTATAAAAATTTTTCAATACAAACTCAAAATCTTCATTACTCTCTAAATCAATATAAAAAATTTATAAGTGTGGTTGGTCATGAGAAATTAATTATAAAAATATTCAAATTTCTAAAATTTAAATATGAAAAGTTGACAATAAATTAAAAGGAGAATTACTTATGAAAAGCAATAATAATAGATTGTAAAGAATAATCTCATCATATAATTTATTTTGACATAAGCATAATTATAGATAGTTTAAATTTATATTAAAATCTTTTGGCAAATATGGAAAGAAAATATTGTTATTTACTGTAATTTAAGTTAAAATCTTAATTATAGAAGACTATAAAAGGTAATATAAATGTAAAAAGGTAAGTAATTAAGTAAAAATTTAAAAAGAAAGAATTATAATTAATTATTTGAAATACTTTTTAATTTAATTCAAATTAAAAAAAGTGAAGGATACATGACTCTTTTTCAGAATTGTTCATATGTCAATTATATAGTCTATCCACACTGGACAATTTTTTTTTTGCCAAAGATTTTGACTTTTATATATTTATATAAGAACAATTAGAAATATTAACTTTAAATTATGAAAATTTAAATTGACTTTAACTTAACTTGCTTATATCACATATTTAATTTGAATAAAAAATTAATCAATATTATATAAACTATTAAAATGCGTTTTGGATGAAGGATTTTAAATTTTCAAAAAAATTCAAAATGAAAATATTTTAAATTGCATGATTTCAAAATAGTAGCTGTCATAATGTATAAATTTATGAACTTAATCATTAAATAAAACACATGGAGTTACATTTTTTTATCTAGATGTCATCGATTACCTAGTGAATTTATCTTTTCTAGGAAAATCTTAAACTTAGATTAAAGATTTCTAAAAAAGAATAAATTCTAATTTTCTCAACAAAACTGAATTGAGGAGTTCAGTTACTCATGTATTAGCTTTCAAAGATTTTCAAAAGATTTTGCAAATTAATAAGTTTTTCATTACCTTTGCCTTAAGATGATCTCCCCTTTGCCTTAAGATTGCTAAAGAGGATTTAAAATGGAACAAGGAAGCAAAAGCAAGTAGCCAAAACAAAGGAGGGAATGAAACAAAACCAAAATTATTTTGGTACGCATGCTCGTCCCAACTGATCCACTAAACAATAAAAAATTAAAAAACGTTCAATATCTCGCATTGCACTTTTAATCACGTAAGAAAATGAATATGAAAATTGAAAACCAATTACAAAAGAAAACAATATCAGTCAACTACACATACTTGTCCCAAAGATAAAACCAAAATGACTATGGTACCTGGACGACAAGGGGCTTGTTCAAGTCAACGGTGAATTCCTGTGCAGCCATCTTCGCAACTGCATAAAGAAACCATGGCCAAACACGTTTCCACAATTTCAACTGCATAAGTTCAAATTCACATTTCCACTATCCCAACATCCAAATACGTTTCCCAAACGCACAACACACAATCTACTTACGTTTCGTGTAGCATTGCTAAAAATAGTTTGTACCTTCAAAAATTGCTGAAAGTACCACTGTTTTTCCTCCTATAGAAAACAAAACTTTTTTCAATTAATGATTAAGTAATGTACAAAATGTAGAAAAACTTCAAGCACTGAAGCTCTACCTAAGGAGTTAAATGAGATAATAGAGACATATTTCAAGAACCCTTTAAAAAAAAGATAGGTCCATTCGTCATTTATATTAATATATATTTTTTGCCAACCCTGCTGGTGTTGGGGCTATTGTCAAATTCCATACCAAATTCCACAGAATAAGGGAGAAAAAAATTCCAAGAGGTACCAATATTCCACAGCTAAAAGAGAGGAAATTATTGGTAAATTGTAGCTTTTCCTATGAAGTATGGGAGGAAGGTGGATCAGCAATACACCAATATTCCACAGCTACTGGAGAAATTTATGTCCATTAATTGATCTAACGGACTGCCTTGTTTAAGAGACCCTTGACTCAAGGCGTCAACCATGAAACAACCCACGTACAGGTCTCGCGATTACAGATTGTCTTCTTAGATTTTGCATTAATTATTAGAAAAGACTTTAACTTGTTTCATTTGCATTGATCTGACCATTTTATTATTATATATAAATTTCATAAAATATTGAACAATCTCATGAAAGTGTTTTTTCTTTTTATTATTTCTTTATAGACAACATGACTCATAAGAATTTTTTTAAAATATTTACTAAAATATAGTAAAGTGTACCCTTACCGGCATGTGTTATCTAATAATATATAATTATATAATTTTATGAGAGTTTAGGGCTTGATAATAGTTTAAGTTGGAAAACTTTTTTGTACGTGAAACAATTATGTAATTTTTCATTTCAATTTTGTTTTAAAAATAAAATTTGGTATAGAAAAATATTAGGGCTTTTTGCTTTGTTTCTCGGTTTCTGCTTTATGTCCTAACAAGAGAAAGAACTTTGACTTGGCGTCAACTGAGACAAATCATTTCCGAATGGGCAAATTCTACTTCCATCATCACACCCACCATGGAATTGCCTATCTACGCAATCAATTTTGACTTTGATTTTTTTTTTTTTTTAAGACTAGAATGTATCAGTTGTTGCTTCCTACAAAATTCATGGTGGAAAGTATGCAGAAACTTTGATGGCGAAAACCAGAGCAGCCCATATCAACTACAACATCAATGTTGCCTTATTTTGAGTGGATATTATCTTATTTGCCGCTAAACAAAGACATAGTAAACAAATACTAACTATACCTTGCTGGTAGTGTTTAGTGTTGAATATAAAGTAGAAGATGTACCTTCTCTTGTGAAATATTTTCATAGAAGAAACCCAAGTTAATGCGCCAACTTGAAGATTGTAAATGTTAAAAAAAAAAAAAGAAAAACATTACTGGAATATGCATGGTAAAAGTACTCACATGATGGTGGAATCATAGAGATTTTCTATCACTAAACTGATTAGTTGGATATAACAATAGTTTTCTCAACTATTGGAGAATTCGAGTCTATATATAGCTTTCATACTGCATTTACAAAAGATCACTAACTAAATCAATGTAAAACCACCAAGGCACTAGGCTACCTTCTTCTGAAAATTGTAGTCACAATGACAAAGTGACAAGCGGTGATGCCAATATAAATTTATGTATAATGGATTTATATATAGTAGGACAGTACCATTTCCCATTAACACAATTCTGTAAGAAATAAAAAAAAGCTCACATATAACACGTATTTATCCCCCAAACAAATAAAAAAAGCTCACATATAACAAATATTTATCCCCCAAACTGCTTTCTTTTTCTCCGAATGAGCCATTTGGTTATATAATATATATTTAGGAGGAAGATCTATTAATGTAAGTGTTTATTTTTTATATTTAGATTAAAATGATTAAATATAATATTATGAATTTAAAAAAATATAAATTTATATTAGTGTAAGCAAATTTCTATTCAACATTTGGATATATAATAAATAAATAAATATTTATTTATTTATTTATTAATCTCCAAGCATGGGTCGAAGAAGCTGGGTTCTTTTAGTGCCCAAAAACCGCACCGTTTTCTTTCCAAAATCAGCTTTTTCCTTTTATGTTCTCTTCTCCCTACGAGATGAACAATCCAGTCAAAGCTGAGAACCGGCCAAACACTGAACCCAATCCCAGCAGCTTATTGATACTGTTGTAATGGTTTTGAAATCGTTAGTTGTAAAAAATTTTAAAAATCGAAAAAAATAAGAGAGTCATTATCAATATTTTTTAGGGCGTGATTGATCATCCAAAAGTTTATCTTTTAAATAAAATATAAAAATGAGTTTAAAATTTATCAATAGATAAATTTTGGTCTACGAAAATAGATTTTGAGTTCGAGAGTTAGTTACGCATAAAAAAAGATTAACACCCCCACAATACCCATAAATTGGTATCACAATGCCCATAAATTATTACCATTAATTATGCACTATTTTTAGTGTTAGATGAAATGGTTTCGATTTGAAATTTAATAATAATTTTTTTTTGTTATTTTAAAAAAAAATTAATTTTATCAAAATTCTTTATTTAGGAATATTGAGAAAATCTTTAAGTTAAAGAATTATCTTAAAATTCTCTAACATCTAGGCAAAATTTAAAATAACTCTTTTCGCTTGAGATTTAATACAATATTTCTTAAAATATCACTTTTTGTAGAAGTAATTGTTGGTTACTCTCCAACGTCTAGGCAAAGTACCGGGAATTATTTTCTTTGAAATGTTATTTTATAACATCACAATTTTAAAATATGTATTTCCTTTTTTTTTGTAAAACATTTTATACGAAAAAGTAAATGATGGTATTATCATATGACAATAAAATTAAAGATAGAGAAATGCAAAACAATGTCACAATAACATAATGATGTATGTATGCCAATGGTTGTTTATGCGAGGTGATGAAAATAATAATTAAAAATGGATTCCTTAAATATAATGAAATTACCTTGACTTCTAATATCTAGGCAAAGCTTAGGTGTGAACTAATTTATATTTAAGATGCATTTTATTTATTAATTATTATTTATTATTAGTTATAAATTCATTGTTAAAGCGAATTAATAACTTACGAGAAAAACTTAATGGAATAAAGTTTCTTAAATACCCCATGTCTAGGTGGGATTTAAGAACAAATTACTCAACTTGAGATTTTCGCACATATCCTTAAAGTTTTGGATGGTTTTGAACTTGGGTATGGGTTGAGGTTTTAAAGTTTGGTGACTTCTAAGTGATGATTGTAGATTGTATGCAAAATTTGGGGTTTTAGGTTTTGAATTTTAAAAATTAAAGTTTTGAATTTTAAAAATTAAAGTTTTGAATTTTGGATTTTAGAGTTTTGGTTCGGGTTTTAAGGGTTTGAAGGTTTGGTTTTAAGATTTGAAAGGTTTAGGGTTTTGATTTTAGGGTTTAAAAGGTTTTAAGATTTTGATTTTAGGATTCAAAGGGTTTAGTGTTTTGATTTTAGAGTTTGGAGGGTTTAGAGTTTTGATTTTAGAATTTAAAGGGTTTTAGGGTTTAAAGGGTTTATGGTTTGGAAGGTTTAGAGCTTTAGTTTTAGGGTTTGGAGGATTTAAGGTTTTGATTTTAAGGTTTGGAAGGTTTAGGGTTTAGTTTTAGGGTTTAGAGGGTTTAGGGTTTAGTTTTAGGGTTTTGATTTTAAGGGTTAGAGGGTTTAAGGTTTTGATTTTAGGGTTTAGAAGGTTTAGGGTTTTGATTTTAGGGGTTAGAGGGTTTAGGGCTTAGTTTTTTTTTTTAAATAAAAGTGAACATCTTTAAAAATCTCTAACATCTAAGCGAAATTCGAAGTAAGTTTGGTTTATATAATTTTTGAAAATTAGTTAAAAAATCTCATATATATTTTTTTACAATAACTTATTATTAATAAAATTGCTAATTTATTTAGTGTTGTTGTTTTTGGTTTTGGTTTTTTTTTTTATAATAATAATTTCTCAACATCTAGGCAGAATTATCATTATTTAAAACATAATTGTATTCTCTCCAATATCTAAGTAGTAAAAATTTCCTTATTTCCTATTCATTTTATAATTATTTTACATATTATTATTATTATTATTATTATTATTATTTAACACGTAGGTTATTAAAAAATATTAAAAAGAATTAAAAGTTTAAAAATCATTTTTATTATGGTTATTATTATCATTATTATTGTTATTATTATTAATCACTATTATGAAACAACAAATTTTTACTCTAATAAATTCTAAAAGTTTTAGAACATGCATAAATAACAATAATAATAAAGTTAAAATGATATAAATAATATATAAAAAAGTTAAAAAACTAAAATTTTTTTTACCTGAACTGGACAAGTAAAAAGTCTGATCAATGCCGGTTTTGTTAGACTAAAAAAAGAGACAGTTTAGCGAGAGGTTTAGTTGAATTGATTGAAAGGTAGTTCAACGAGCAATTTAGTTGAACCAGTTTAGGGCTAGTTGAAGGACAGGTCATCGAGTTGGGTTGAACAGATCCTGGGTCAGGTTTGGGCCTACGTGTGGATCCTCCTTGGCCTAAAACGATGTCGTTTTGGGCTTTAGTCTTCTATATAAAACCAAAAATTTTTTTCAGCTCATTTTATTCTCTTTGCCAAAAAAAATTTTCAAAGCTCAAAAAATCTCTCTAGCCTCGTAAGATTCTGACACTGTGCCATCATGCTAGCCGCCTCCTGAAGTCATCGTTAATAGTTGCTACTGGTGGTTAGAAGGTTTAGGGTGTGTGTGTGGAGTTGGTTTGGGAACGCCAAGGTTGGATGGGTTTGTGGGTGTGGGAGATTTGAAGTTTTTGGTTATGGAAAAGCTTGACTTTTTAAAGTGTGGAGCTTGGGGTTTATTAGGTGTGGAAGCTTGAGGTTTTTTGGGCATGGAAGAGCTAGGGTTTTAGTGTGTTTGAAGATGGCTAAGTTTCTAGAGATCTCTTTAGATGTGTCTAAGCTTAGGGTTTAAAGGGATTAGGTGTCTAGTGAGGATTCTATTTGAGGTAGGTGGTGGTTGTAGGGATGGCTGGTCTGGTGATTGTAGGGGTGGCTGAAGGTATGGTTAGGGTAAGTTGTAGTGGGTGACTGTAGGGGTGGTTTGTGCCAGTGGTGCTAGGCATAGTACCTAAGCATCAGCCCCCTACCCTAATTTTTTTTAGCTTATTGTTTATTTTATTTTATTATTTTTTGTTTGCTTTTTTTAATGTTTAATTAATAAATTAATATTAATATCTAATAAATGGCAAAAAAATGAAACAACAATAATGAGCCCGAGCTTGAAAAAGAAATTGGACTTGGACCTATGAACTCAATAAAACCAAAAAATTTAAATTGAGATCTGGACAAATTTGATGTTTACAACTACCTTATGTCGTTGCCATTGTTGGCCTCGACCATATACTAGGAAACACCAAGATTTTTCGTTTTCTTCCTCTCTACCACTAACCCATTTTAAGAACAAAACCAAACCAAAAAAAAATTTAACCTAGAGATCAGCAAAGTTCTATCACTGATTTGCCATTTGTCACCGATTTTCCATGCACTGTCGCAGTTTCCGGTCACCAATTAGCCAAGTCTATTTTCCTTTCTTAATGTTTTACCAATTCCCAAAAGAAAATCCTAAAAGCTCCTTTGAACGAACCCCAAATAGTTCATAGCCTTTCAAACTTTTCATTACATGTTTGCTTTTGTAATTGTTGTATTTTCTCTATTCTTAACT